GGCGGTGGGGCGAGTGCAGCGTGTTGGGGGTGGTGGGGACGTGGATACCGCGCTGGGGACAGCCAGGAGCGAGGCAGAGGGCAGCAGTCCTGTGCCGTCCCCACGTGGCATCGCCCAGAGCGCGTGGCTCAGCGGCCAGACCCTGAGGAGCCCTGTCCCGCGTGGGATGTGGTGATTCTGGGGGTGAGTTTTTATACAATTTCGGTCAAAGAAAGGGGAGACTGAGGCCAGGCACGTTTGCGAGTGACGTCCGTCCTACCCCACGGCTGACCCGTGCCCGGGGTGGAGGAAGGTCAGAGGCAGGTGGCTCTAGTGATCAGTCATGGGCCCCACTTCCGCCCCCACCTCAGGGACACCGAGAAGCGGTTTGGGGTGGTTTCTCATCCAGCTGCGTTTGCCCTCTGGAGCGCAGGTGAAGGGTTCTTTGTTTTGGGTACAAACCCTCCATCAGGTGTGCGATTTGCTAACGTTTTCCCCAACTCGTGCCCCGTCTCCTCGTTCTCTCGCCGTCCTCGCTCAGAGAGGCGCTCTCAGTCCCGGTCGAGTGCCACCTGCGGTCTGTCGCTTTTACAGGTGTGCTTTTGGCGTCGTGGCCAGGAAGCCATGCAGAGCCACAACCGTTTTCCTCTGCGGGTTTTGTGGCTTCGCGTTTTACGTGGGGTCTGTGATCCCTTTGGAGTAGACGTTCCTGAGGGTGTGAAGCGCGTCACTCTCTTGCAGACGGGTGTCAGTCGGCCCCGTGCGGACGAGTGCTGGGACTCGGCGTGGGGGCGAGTGTTGGCGTCGTGACCTCACGGACCCTGTCTGTCCCACTGGTTGGTGTCTGTCCTGGACCACCTCTGTGGCGTGAGGTCTCGTCAATGCTCTTTCTAAAATTTTTTTTATTACTGTTAGAGTCAGGATCTCTCTCTGTTGCCCGGGCTAGAGTGCCGTGGCGTCATCCTAGCTCACAGCAACCTCAAACTCTTGGGCTCAAGCGATCCTCCTGCGTCAGCCTCCCGAGTAGCTGGGACTGCAGGCATGCGCCACCATGCCCGGCTAATTTTTTTTTATGTATTTTTAGTAGAGACGGGGTCTCGCTCTTGTTCAGGCTGGTCTCGAACTCCTGAGCTCAAACAATCCGCCTGCCTCGGCCTCCCAGAGAGCTAGGATTACAGGCGTGAGCCACCGCGCCCGGCCGAGATCGTGTCTTTCATAGTCTCGGAGAACTTCGCGTGAACAGACCGAGTTTGGTGCCACTTTTTATGGAGACTGACTTCCTGTCACGCGGGGGCTGCCGCCCTCTCCCGGGCCGAGCTGGAAGGGAACGCGTCGGACCGGCGGAAGGGCGTGTGCTCCGAGCCGCGCTCTCCGGCCCCCACGGCCGCCCCTCACCGCCGGCCGCCCCGTTGCAGGTACGATGCGGAGCTCAGCCCTGTGGACCAGAAGCTGAGCGCGCTGCGCACCCCGCTGGCGCAGAGGCCCTTCTTCGAGGCGCCGTCAGCCCTGAGCGCGGTCGACCTGTACGAGTACGCGTGTGCGGACGACGACCTGCAGCCGCTGTGACGCCGGCCCGTGCACGCGGCCCGCCGGACCCCGTGGCTTCCGTGTAGAAACAAAACTGTTGAATCGTTGGACTGTCTTTTGTGGAAGATGAAGTGCGTTTGTATGGAATGATAAATTTTTATTTATTCACGGAAGCGTGTCCGACGGTTGTCGATGGCGCCTGTTCCCGCCTGTCCCTGGGGGCCGGCGCTGGGACACTCTGGGGCCACCCGTGGGTCGGGACGGGCTCCGGCACGCCGGCCCTCAGCCCCCGGCTGTCCGGGAAGGGTCGGTGCTGTGTGTGTTGCGCGCTGGCGCGGGGCGCGTGTCCTCCCGAGGTGTGAGCTGTCCACGAGAGCGCAGTGGCCAGTGCGCCTTCACTGTTGCTTCGAGCATTGTCACAGGAGGGTGACTTACTTGCTGCGTGGAGGTTTAAAAGCATTTTACGCAGTCACATTTGCATTTTTTAATTAGCAAGCAAGGATTCTCAGTCGTGGGCTCAGTTCTTTCAGCTGCAGCCCACGTCCGGGGAGGCCACGCAAGCCTTGGAGCATCCGACTCTGCCGCGCCCTCGGCCGGGACCCACCTGCTCCCTCCACAGGCCCCGCGTGGCGCACAGCAGGGAGGGTCATGGGGGATGGGAACGGCGTCAAGGCCTGTCTGTCCTTTCCAAACACGGCGACAGAACAGGCAGGGGAGAGCCAGCTGCCAGCATGGCAGGAACACGCATGACCACACGGGCAGGGCACAGGCCTGCGTTCGCAGCCTACGAGGCCTCATCCCTGCCCACCTGCGGTTGGCTCCGTGGCGTGGCAGGTAGGGCCGGGTCAGCTCCAGCAGCCTGTTTGTCCACACAGAGCCCACCAGCTGCACCCAGCCACGGAACTGCCAGCCACGAGTGCAGGGCGTGGCCTTGAAGGAGGCACTCATGGCCTTGGTCCCTGCGATGTGGGCTCCGGGGCTGGGAACAGGGACGGGCGTGGACAGGCTGACGGACGTGGCAGCACCTTCTACAGACAGGCCGGGCGCCCTGTGGCCGCCTTCATGCCTTGCCGGGCAGCACAGGGCGGCTCCCGCTGAATCCCCGGAGGATGGGCCTTCCTGGGTCTGCGGTGGCCACGAGTGAGGTCTGTGGCACTGGGGCCACCTCCCCCCCCCCAGCCGGCCCCTCAGGGCCCCAAGACACACAGGACACAGGAAGGCCGTAGCCGGGGACACTCGGGCACCCACAAGGCGGGGAGGGACCAGCCGTGGCCGCTCTGGGGAGGTGACTTGGGTGGGGCCCTAGCCCAGTGGCCCCCGTGAGACCCGGAACCCAAGGCTGCCGGGCAGGGCTCGGTGACAGCGTGCAGGAGGGGCGCTCACTGTCCGCATCTGCACAGCCCAGGCGGGGACCAGCCCCCCAGCCCACTGGTCCTCACGGTACAGCCGGGACCATCCAGCCTGGGCCGCCAGCCACGCAGCGCCCTCTGCGCACGACCCTGCAGGGCAGCCTGGACCGCGGAGCCTCCTCGAGGGACCCTGCCGACCCCACCCCTTCCTCCCGGGCTCTCCGGTGTCAGGCCCAGAGGCGTTCTCCGGGGGCAGCCAGGGCCCGGAACAGCCACGTCCACCTGAGGAACAGCACGAGCCCCGTCCGGGAAGGTGACCACTGTCCACTCTCCCCACGGAGCTGTCGGCCACGCCCTGCAGCCCCCGAGGCCCAGGCCGCCCCGAGCTGCCGCCACGTGGGATCGGTGGGCCCCGAGGCAGGTGGGTGAACAGGTGAGCACCGCGGGCTCCTGCCCCAGCACAGACGGGCACGGCGGGGTGTGAGTTCCACGCAGGGCAGGAGGACAGCGGGGCGCGGGGGCTCCCGGCAGGGAAACGTGCACAGATGGTTCTGGATGTTCCCGGGGTCCACGGCATGAGGCGAGCAGGCCGGGTGTGGACGTTCCCAGGAGCGTGAGGTGGGGGACGGGGCCCGGGTGGCCGTGAGGACACAGAGATGGCGGCGACAGGTGGAGACAGATGCAGAAGGAACCTCGGAGGTGGAGACTCACGGCAGGACCAGGGGACGCCCCCTCCCCCGGAGGACGCCCTCCCCTCCCTGCGGCGCCGCTGTCCTGGCATCTGTGTGACACGGGGTGAGGGCAGGTCCCCCAGCCCCCATGGAAGGTGGCGTCTTCACCAGGGACTTGCAGAGATGCCCAGAGGGCTCACATCCCTGTCCCCAAGACCGGCGCACCCGCAGCCATGCGGTCTTGGAAGGCGGTGACAAGGAGCCCACCGGGTGCTGCCCCCTCCCCGTGCTCAGATGCACATGACGAGGACACGCAGGTCCCTGGAAGGTGCCAGGGGGGCGAGGCAGGGCGTGTGGGGAGCAGAGGTCCCTGGGGACGCAGCTGTGGCCAAGTGTCCCTCAGTCCCCCAGGAGGCCAGGGAGGCAGGGGGTCAGGTGGGGCCTTCGTTCCGCTCAGATCCTGCTGGGGCCGAGGACTGGGGCTCTGACTGGGGCTGGGCGAAGACGAGGAACCTTTCGGAGCAGGGGGTGCAGGCGCAGTCGGTCTGTGGTTCAGAGGCCCACGACCCCGCCCCCTGTGACCCTGGACACAGCCGCCGCTGGGGTTCCTGGCGCCCGATCTCCCCAGCTGCCAACCCTCCCTGTGTTTCCAAGCTCAGCCCTGACCTCCTTGTTGTCCTGGGACGCCAACCCTCCCCAGGCCCTCCCATCCCTGCGGGTCCTTCTGTCCCCAGCCTCACCCGTCCTGCGGGCTCAGAACGGGCCGACCCCCCTGCCACACGCTGGACCTGAACGTCGGAAGGCGCCGGAGTCCACCCTCCCTCCCTCCCTGCACAGGTCTGGCCCCGCGGGACAAACCCCGCCCCCCCCGCCAGGCCTCACGCCGGACGAGCAGGCCCCAGGAGGCTGGAGGCGGAGGTGGGCACAGCCCCGGGACACTTGTGGGTGGCCATGGTGGCCGCACCTGTGCTGTGCAGGCTGAGGGGGAAGTACCCCCCACGCGCACGAGCCCCGTCTGCGGCAGAGCTGAGGTGCCAGCACCCCGTGGCTCAGGGGACACAGCCTCCTGGGTGGGCACAGGCTCCGCCTGGCACGCACCTCTCCTGTGAGTCTGAACCGGCCGGCGTCGCCCCCGATCAGGACTCCGCTGCCCCGGCTGCAAGTTCCTCAGAACAGCCCTCCGGGCCCACGGGCAGCCCCCTCACGGGACGTGGACACCCGTGGCACTGCCACCTTCTGTGCAAGACACAGCCACCAGCCAGGTGCTCACACCTCAAAGCTTGGTTACGGCACGACACGCCCCACGTGGGGGCTGCAGGACCAGCTCCTCAGATGCAGGGACAGGAGCACCCTGCCCCCCTGTAACCCTGGACACGGTCAGGGCAGGCCACGGTGGCCACCAGCCCAGGTCCCCTGCACGCCGGCCTGGACACCTGCTGCAGGCTCACCCGAGTCCCCTTCTGTACGCCCACAGCCCATGGGGACCCTCACGTCCCTGCGTCCTGCCCACGGGCGCAGCTGCCCTCAGCCCTGCACCTGGGCCCACGACGGCCCCGGCCGTGCTGGACTGTGCTCGCCTGCTCCCTGGGCACTGCCCCTCTGTGGGTCAGGGACCCCCCCCCCGTCTCCCTAGGGTGGCACTGCCTGTGCCCGCACAGCAACAGAAAGGGTGACGTGAGCGGATGAGGGGCCACACGCCCGGCAGGGAAGGAAGACCCCCGACGTGCAGGAACAGGGCCCAGCTACAGGCGAACCCCACCCTGGGCTCCCCCACCACAGGGGCTCTGGGGACGGCCCCTCAGCCCTGGCACGCAGGCCCTGCCCAGCAACGAAGATGGGCGTGGACGGCGCCCACAGTCTGACGGTTCACAGTGCAGACGACGGGGCCATGCCGCAGCCCCTCCCCGCGTCACAGAGCCCCTCGGTGCCCCGAGCCCTGGTCTCCCAGCAGGGCCACCGACCCCAGGCACTCACACGGCCCCACGCTCCAACGATGGGATCCCATAGGCAGGAGCAGGAAGCTGAGGCTGGGGGAATGGCCGCCCTGGTCCTCCAGCTGCCTCGGAGCTTCAGAGAAGGCAAATGTGGTTCCACGCCAGTCTACAGCAGGATGGAGTGTCCCACAGGGCGTGGGGGCAGCATGGCGCCATGACCGAGATGGGCGTCCTCCACCCCTTATCCGTGGATGTGGGAGACCACATCCCGGACCCTGGGCAGTCTGAGCCTGGCGTGGAGCGATGGGCCAGGAGGTGGGTGGGGTGCGGTGGGACGGGCTGCCGCGGAGCTCCACGGGGTCACAGGCCGGGCTGAGGCGTCCACGGGCATCTGCTACAGCGGGGGGATCTGGGTGGTGGAGGCCCACGTCTTGGGGGCTCCAAGTCCCGGGTTCTATGGGGGTCCCTGAATCCCAGGTTCTGGGGAGTTCCCTGAGCTCTAGGGTCTGGGGTGCAGGAGGTCCCGGGGCCCAGGACCAGCGCCCAAGCAGGCACCTCCTCTGTTGAATTGCCGAGACGCAGCCGAGGGCTCTGACGCTGCCATCCGGGAGACGTGGGCAGGGGGCTCCCACCCGCACACCCTGCAGAGGCTGGAACAGCCGTGTGCGGCGGCGGTGGTGGCTCCACCCAGGGCGTCACGCACGGGAAGGTGTCGGTGACTCTGGCAGAGGGCCCAGGCCCCTACGCCTGCAGCCCCTGGCGGCCTGGGATCCCCCACTCCTGCCCAGCCCTGGGGAAACCCCGTCTCCACATCTGGACCAGGCTGCCCCCCGAGGTCCAGTTCGGCCCCTTCGGGGTTCAAAAGAATCTCCCCAGGGTCCAACCTCCCACCAAGGTGAGAAAGCAGAAGTAGCGACGGGTCCAGAAAGTCGCCTTTTGTTCGAGGAAAAGGATGCGTCCCGTCTCGGGAGGAGATGCCACCTGACTGGGCCACCACCCGACTATGATGTTTGACCCCACCTGCCGCGGGGAGGAGGGCCGGGCCACGTTGGCGTGCGCAGAGCTGCGCAGTGTCGACGGGAGCAGGTGAGCCCCGCAGAGGACCAGGCACCAGCGCTGAGCAGACAGGAGGTGCCGAGGCCGGATCTCTGGTTCAGGACAGAAACGCGTGAGGGCAGCAACACAGCCACAGACCGTGTAGACCCAGGGACTCGGAAACGCTCCGGAGACACCAGCCATCCACGTCACGTTTGTGCTGTGAAAGTCATTAACACTGCAACCGACCAAACTCTGTGCCCCCCCCAAGTGCACACGATGAAGCCCTCGCCCCCAAGGTGGTGGTGTCAGGAGGTGGGAGGTGACGAGGTCCTGAGGGTGCAACCTCACGAATGGGATCAGTGTCCTTATAAAAGGGACCCCAGAGAGCTCCCTCGCCCCTTCCACCGTGTGAGGACACAGCGAGAAGGCGCCGTCTATGAACCAGGAAGTGAGTCCGCACCAGACACAGCCTCTGCCACGCCGGGATCTCCACTTCCAGCCTCCAGAGCTGGGAGCGGTAAATGCCGGTGGTTTATAAGCCACACGGTATTGTTACAACAGCTGCGGTGCATTAAGACAGGGAAGATCTATTCATCCCACTGCAGCGGGCATTGCGTGAATGCCTCCAATTTCTCTGTCCCTTCTCTTTTGTTCTCTTGCACTCTTTCCTATCCCATATTTTCTTATTATCAGTGGTTTTGATCCTTGCATTTTATAACCCTATTTAAAGAGAGATGCTTACTGTGAAGGTCACGAGAAAGAGAGATGTCTACCTGGAAGGTCAGGAGAGACAGACACCCACCCTGAGAGGAGACAGATCCCACCCTGCGGGTGTGGGAGGCCACCAGGTGCTGGCGGCAGCACACGTCACCTGTCCCGGCTGTACAGGAAGCGTGTGCAGAAGTGCACCAGGATCCAGGTCTCTGTGACCAGCATCCAAGCTTGGGGCACGGTAGCGGGGTGCATCTTGGCTGAGGAACCCCGAGGCCGGGGACGTACCCTGCTCACCCCAGGCAAGGACACCCGTCTGCCCACCTGCTGTGGCCACGCCCTGCCTGGGCCTAGGCTGGGGACAGAGCAATCCCCGGAGAGAGCAGCCGCCGTCCCTGGGTCTGGGCACCAACGCCCCGTCCCCAGCTGATTCAGGCCCCAGCTCAGATGCACCTGCAGTGACCTGTCCCCACCCTGGGCAGAGCTGAGCGAATGCACCACATCCCTCGGGACCCTCTGCAGGAATTTCCTTGGGCTCCACCTCGATTAAGGAGGCAGGAATGGAAGGCGAAGGTCATGAGTCCTCGAGGGTGGCTGAGGGTGGGCCGTCCTCCTGAGCAGCTGCAGCTGCAAAGTACCACGGGTGGGTGATGTTTAAGGAGAACGGCGGTGCTGGGACCCGGTGCATCTCCCAGGGGACACCTGCGTCCCCCACCCCAGGCAGCTCAGCACCGTGGGAGCTTCTTGTTCTGCCTTGTGCTAGACACAGGCTCCTAGAGGACGTCGCCGAAACCACGTAGGCTGAACAGCATGCCGTGTTAAACACAGACGTGTTACAGCACCGTGTACCAAGATAAAAACACGACAACTAAGGACGGCCACACACGGCTCAGACACACTGTAGCCATCAGCTCCCAGAAAGAAACCAAAATCCCACTGTGTGCTCAGGGCTGGTGGGGCACGGAGCACCCAGCCCGTGTCGAGGCCGTGGGCCCCATGCCCACTGCGACCTGGGAGGTGGTCCCTGGGCACCCTCGGGGGGTTCAGACCCCACATCCAACAGCACCTAGGAGGTGGTCCCCGAGCCCCGGACACCCTTATTGTGGGGCGCCCTCCACCTTCCATAGGGACGGCAGGACCACCAGGGAACGATGGGGAGATGATGGGGGGAGAATCGCCTCTCAGGACCACACTAAGCATAAATGTCCCAAACCTGAACCAGCCTGTTCGCTGACATACTTCAGACATCAAGCTATGCTCACGTGTGGCCTCGGGGTGGGGAGGTGGGGAGGCTTAGCCTACAACTGCAGAAAACGTAGGAGAGGACCAACCCAATGAGCAGGAGGCCGAGAGAAAAACTGGCAGACCGGGCCCTTCACCTCACACCGCGAAGCTCAGAAGGGATTAAAGGTAT